TAATTTCAAGTTGTTTGTGTTAAAAAGCACAAAAAATAATATTGCTAGTTTTCTTGTGAGTGGTAACAAATATTCTTATTAGCATCTAGAGAACATAGAAAACCATAATTCCCAAATAGATTAGGATTATAAGCCTTTTTGATTTCTAGTCTCAAAGGCTACTAAAGTCAGGACTAGCAAAGAGCAGTAACTTCGGTGCCTGCACTTGTGTTTTATTCATTTGAAGTGGAAGTGTGCATTGCAAAAGAGACACTAACCTTTTAAAAATGGATGTGAGACTGAGCTAATAGTCTGATAAACGGGATGACGAAGGTCAAATTCACAAATCTTCTTTGGCATTTGATTATGCAGGTAAACCTCGTAAAAGTGAAATAAGAATTTCCAATGAGAGTGAGGTTTATTTTAGGACATGTTTTGAGCACTAAAAAAATGCTTAATGTTGATAATCATCTCCTTTAATAAGCAGTTGCAAATAAGCAAATACATGGATAAGCTTTAATAAGTGATCTTTTGAACTGAGATAAACAGTGTGCTACCATGTAAATGCGTGCATATTTTTAAAAGGCTGATTTCCAGCTGATGATAAATATTCTGAACCAGCCACACACCACAGGGCTGTTTCACATTCTGGTTAAATTTCCGTGCTTATTACCAGCATTTGTATGCAAGTTTATTCCAATTTATTTGAATAGGACTCCTTCAGTGACAGTGTAAAATGATACTGTGGATTTTATTTATGTAGGATGTGTTTGAAAAAGCTGCTACTTTGATACATTTTGTGAACATCTGTAGATAGTAAACTATAAACTTCATTTGTGATAGTGTTAATAGATTCACTAATACTTCTAGCAGTGTTAGAGTTGATGGACTGTCTTACCCATTGCTCTGAGTTATCTTGTGGCTTCCATTCACATCTTCGTGAAAGAGGTGCTAGTAAAATAGTTTGACAGCAGTCTTTGGTGTACACACAGGGACTTCGGCTCCAAGAATATAATTATCTACACTCAACTTTTCTCTTGGTCTATATAATTTATTAACTCCCCACAACCAAAACAAAAAACAAAAACCCTGTTGCTGTCGAGTTGATTCTGACTGATAGTGACCCTATAGGACAGAGTAGAACTACCCCACCGGGTTTCCAAGGAGCAGCTGGCGGATTCGAACTGCCAACCTTTTGGTTAGCAGCCAAGCGCTTAACCAGCATGCCACTAGGGCTCCAATTAATTAAAAGAGCAATACTAACATATTCCTCATTGAAATGAATCTCATTCAAGAATCTAAGACTTTGTTTAATTACTTAGAATATGTATTTTTTATATGGCCAAACCCCCACCCAGAGGCGCCTATAAAAAAAAAAAAAATTCAAGGTACATACAATAGCTTATAACAACAAAGAGGTGCTGCTTTGTGACACACATCAGGATATTATTATTATTATTATTAATGTATTATTATGTTAAAGCATTTTAGTGGATCTGGAAGTGTTTCTTTAATGTTTTTTTTAATGCACAGAAAGATACATTATATAGTATATACTAAGACAAGTATTTGACTAACTAATGTTAGATACGAACCGTACCTAATTCTGACTTATGTACAAATTCAATTTAAAGACAGACTTAGAAATGGAAATTGTTCATAATCCATGGACTGCCTATGTATAAAACGGTGTTTGCACAAGATCCAAATCACATCCTATTTCACAGAACGTATCGTGGACAGTAAGCAATGCATGACTGTCACAGTGGCTAAGAGCTCAGTTACTAACCAAAAGGTCAGCAGTTTGAATCCACCAGCTGCTCCTTGGAAACCCTATGGGGCAGTTCTACTCTGTCCTGTAGGGTTGCTATGAGTCAGAATTGACTCAACGGCAACGGGTTTGGTTTTTTGTTTTATATATATATATATGTATTATATAAACCTACTCCTCACTTATCGATTATATCATTATCTGACCATTTCGCATTTACGACATTAGTAAAAAATCCACTATCCGACTATTTTGCATGTTAATTATGTATGTCTGGCAGTAACCCTCTCATGACCAGTGGAACATATAGCCCCCAACAACGTTTTCCACCTCTTGGTTCCAGAGGGACATATGTATCCCACATAATATTTTGTGATCTGATGTGGTCATCCTCCATATTCACATAATGCCAATTTTCTCATAACGACCTGGTCTTTAGAACCTAACCATGTCAATAAGTGAGAAGCGGGTATATCTACCTACCTACCTATCTATCTATCTATCTATCTATCTATCTATCTATATACAGAGACTATATATAAAGATGTATATCTGTTGTTGTTGTTAGATGCCATTGAGTCAGTTCCAACTCATAGTGACCCCATGTACTACAGAAAGTAACATTGTCCGGTCCTGTGCCATCTTCACAATCATTGTTATGCTTGAGACCATTGTTGCAGCCACTGTGTCAGTCCATCTCGTTGAGGGTCTTCCTCTTTTTTCACTGACCCACTACTTTACCAAGCATGGTGTGTATATATATATATATGTATGTATATATATATGTGACTAGATAATTCAATTTATAGTCATAGATAGAACTAGTGATTCTTAAGCTCATTATATTTTAATTTACTTGAAAACAGAATAATCCAGTTTAATATTTCTGTTACTTTGTATAAGGAATTTTATTTATAAAAACTATTAAAAGAGAACTAGGTTACCTATGTGTTTTTAATTAATCCTTTCAACATTCTTAGAGAATAGGATGTAAGTCTGGTAGTATAATGTTAAGTACCTTTTTTACTGAGAGAACCCTCCCTATAATTTCCCAGGGGAATATAGAAGATGAAAATTTTTGTAGGGGGATTAAAACCGTGTATGTTAGACTATTTGATAGAGTCCCACAATTCTTGTGTGCTTAGTTCTGTTTTATATGATTTTTAAAAAAATCTGTGTTCCAGTTTGTTTTTATTAATTTATTTTCAAATTCACTGATTCTTCCTTCAGCTGTGCCACATCTACTAATAAGCCCGTTGAAGGAAATCTTCATGTCTGATATTCTGAATTTTTTTCTCCTTTGCGTGTCCCTTTGACTCCTATAATTTCCATCTTTCTGCAAAAGTTCCCCCAGCTGTTCATACATGTTGTCTACCTTTTCCAGTAGATTCTTTAATATATTAATTATTTTAATATTCTTGTCTGATATTTCCATTCTATGAGTATGATCTGAGTCTGCTTCTGTTACTTGCTTTATCCTTTGGCAAAGTGTTGTTTTTTCACCCTTTTTTGTATGTCTCACAATTTTTTTTTTAAATTATGACAGAACACCATGTGTACAGCTGGGAGAGAGTGCAGGAAACAGTATTTATGCCTATGAATGTCACATCTTATCTGGTAGGCTGTTGAATCAGTCCAGCCAGGACTTGAGGTGGTTTTGAGTTCTGCTGTTGCTATGGTTACTTGAAATGCATCACAGCCTTCACATTCCTCAAGGGTGAGCTGGCATTGTCAAGTATGTGCCGGAGGTTTTCTCAGGGTTAGTACTGTGCCGTCAGCTTCCAGCTATCCCTGAACAACTTTTCCAAAGAGGCTTTCTCTCTCTGAATTCTTGCCGCGCTCCCACTGGTAGACAGCTGTTGCTTGTTATTCTGTGCTGGGCTTATATTGGAGTCAAAAGGATTTTTCTGTTGTTCTCCTCCAGACTAAGTCTTAAAGAGACCCCGAGAGTGTGCACATTGGGAGTGGGCTGTCACAGCATTCCCGTCCTTCCTTTCAAAGCAGCCAGATTCTACCTGTGCTTGGACTTGGGAGTGAATTTCCTGCCCCTCCCCCGGTGATAGGTACCTCTGCTTGGTATTGGTATATGACCTTCAGCTCATGCTGGTTTTCCTATCACAAACCCAGTTATAGAATTTCTTTTATTGTCTGTCCTTGTCCCAGATACAGTTGTCTTTGCCTGTGCCCTGGAGGTGACAGGTTTTGCTGCCCTTCCCCCAGTGGTTTAAGGTTTTTGATTCCTAAGAGTGAAGGGCGCAGGGAAGTTCACGGTGTTGGAGCCTATTCCTCCGCGGAACCAGTGAGCGAGGCAGTCTCCATTATACGGTAGAGGCATGTGGACAGAATTGAAAACCCCCCTTCTGTCTGGGTGCCTGAGGAGCTCTGGTGGCGAAGTGGTTAAAGCAATCCACTGCTAACAGAAAGGGAGAGATTCACACCCTTGGAAGCCCTATGGGGTCGCTGTGAGTCAGAATTGACTCGAGGGTAACAGGTATATGCCATGCTTTGTCCTCTAGGCCCTGCAGATACAGTAGTGAGGAGAGTATAAGACAGAAGTGGCCTCTTCTTACTTAGAATTTACCTTATGGTGATAGGGTAGGGCATAATAAGCAAGAAAACCCGTAAGTAACTATGATGGTTACAGATTATGATAAATAAACACGGTTCTGAGATCCAGAATAACTGATGTGGCTCTACTTTAGTTTGGAAGTCTTTTTTGAAGGAAGGCTAAAAGAATGAGCAATAGTAAACCACAGAAAGACCTAAGGAAAAGCATTCTTGTCAAAGGAAACCGTCAACAAGAAGACCCCATGTAGAGTGAGTACAATGAAGTTGTAGAAAGGAAAAATTGTTGAGTCCCAGAGGGTTTCTAAGTCCAAATATATAAAAAATATATGGAAAATATTAAATAGATATTAAACTGGCATTATATATTTACAGATAAATTAACTTATTGCTTTAATAATTTCTCTATTTTTTATAAATTCTCTATGCCCAAATAATGGGTAAAATGTAGGGGTTTGTCCATAATGCAATGGGAGCCCACATACATAACTTATTGACACATGATTGTCACTTAAAAATTATGATTACTATTTTAAATCATTCCTTTGGTTTCAGGATTTTTTACTAGCTTTAAAATTCATGAGGTTATTCTACCAAATTCATCTCTTGGAGGTTAAAATTTGAAAGAATTCTCTATTCTATAGCAGGTCTTGCAAATTTTTCATGGTAAGTAACTAGAGAATAAAGATGCCAGAAATGGCATAAGTAATTACTAGTCGCTCTGTGAGTTAGCCAACCACCAGCTAATCATTTATGAGAACCTCAGTCCTATCAGATTTTGTGATCGAGGCTCTAGACACAGGGGAGTGGACTTCAGTTACATAAGGGGGATTGAGGTAGGTGGTGGTAAGAAGAGTTGACCCCCCCAAAAAAAGAAAAAAAAAACCCGTTGTCATCGAGTCGGTTCCGACTCATAGCGACCCTGTAGGACAGACTAGAACTGCCCATGAGTTTCGAAGGAGTGACTGGTGGATTCGAACTGCCAACCTTTTGGTTAGCAGTCGTAGCTTTCTGTAGCTCTCAGCCACTGCGCCACCAGGTCAAAGTTATGAGTGTCAAAAAGTTAAAGCTATTTTGGAAATGGAAACGAGGATAGCGCTGTTTTCCACTCCCCAAAATTTTGGATTCCCTCTGCCTCCGTTCACCAAGGTTGTCTTATCTGTATGTCTTGTGTAATACGTGAAAATAAGGTCAAAGCTCCCTTTCCTGGAAAGCTTTTCTCCCAGTTCACCATGTAATCATGCAATACTTCATAAAATATGTGAAACTAGCAATAAAGCCTTTTTTGAAACTTCCTTGTTAGGTCACTTAAAAAAATCAGAAACGCATTGCCTTCGAGTCGATTCCAACTCATAGTGACCCCATAGGACAGAGTAAAGTTGCCTCCATAGGGTTTCCAAGGAGCAGCTGGCAGATTCAAACTGCTGACCGTTTGGTTAGCAGCCGAGCTCTTAACCCCTGTGCCACCAGGTCTCCTGTTGTTTAGTATTTATTTTTTAAATATTTATCCCCCAACCTTGTCATAGTGACCCTACAGGATGGAGTAGAACTGCCTCATAGGGTTTCCAAGGCTGTAAATCTTTACAGAAACAGACTGCTACATTTTTTCCGGCTGTTAAGTTTGAACTACCGACCTTTTGGTGAGCAGCCAAGTGCTTACCCACTGCACCACCAGGGCTCCTAATCGTGTCATAATCTCTAGGTGGTGCGAATGGTTAAGTGCTCGACTACTAACTGAAAGGTGGTGGTTCGAATCCGCCCAGAGGTACCTTGCAAGACAAGGCCTGGTTATCCCCTTCAGAAAGGCCTTGAAAAACCTATAGAGCAGTTCTACTCTGCACATACGGGGTAGCCATGAGTTTGTATCGATTCGACAGCAACTAATAAAAATTTCAGTAGCAATCTATGTATTCCATGAACTACAGCCGTAAATCTCTAACTGGTCTTTCTGTCTCTGACTTTTTTTTTTCCTTTCCCCAACACAATTCAGCATCATTATTGTTCCAAAATGTCACTTTGATCATGACATTAATTACCCAACTAAAAATCCTTCCGTACTTCTTCATTTTCTAACCTGCTGATCGTGGCGTTCAGAGCTACATACTGTGGCCACCCATGTGTCACCTACTGTTTTCTCCTAAAGTCTTTTCATTCAGTTGCGTGTCGTCCCACAAACGTGCTTTATAAATTTTCACTTTCAAACACATGCTTTCCCTAGCCTTCTCACCTACGATCGTTTTCCCACTGGTCTTTGTGTCTTTCAAAATCCTGCTTTTCCTGTGAGATGTGTTCAAGTTGCACCTCTCTGAATATATCAACCCACATTCGTTTATTTCTCTTCTACGTTCTTATTAGCGTTTATTATCCACCTGTTTAATTTACAGTATTTTTTCTCTTTGTGTTATTAGTTGGTTTTGATGGCCTTTGTACCCAGATAGGTTGTTTGCTCTTGAGGATGATAGGGCACTGTTAGCCCCACCATCATCATCTGTCTTTAGTCCTCCCAGAAAGCTCTGTAAATTGTCTTGGCTCATTTGTTTGCACCTCATTTAATTATTAGGTGATAGTAATTAGAGGAAAAATGCTTGAAAGAGATTAGGGAGAGATCTATGATGTCTTGTTTTTCACATTTCATTTTAAATAAATATATATAATTAACCATTTTGATGTGTGAATAATTGTTGATGTTTACATATTCATGAACGACTATGTATTTTCTGAAGATTTGCATAAAGCCTAGATACTTTTAAAAAATCATTTATTAATTTCTTGGGGGTACAGTGCGTAATCTTAAGAAGCTCTGTCTAAAGAACAAGAGAGATGCAAACGAAAACTGGAATGCAGTGTTGTCCACGTGACTGTAGAGTAAGGGGCCATTTAGGGATTCTTTGTTCATACTTACATTATATGTCTTGGTTGAGAAATGATGCATTCGATTAAAAAGGTATGAATCAGTTGAAGAGCTAAGTAAATTAATTCACACTATTCAAAAATAGAGATTTTAACAACAAAATTCCTTTACTTTGTTATTATGCCACCAATTTCTTAGCTAACAAAGAGTGTGTTTGGCATATGTTTGTATACAGTTGTATTGTTTGAAGGTATGGATAGAGTGGGTTTTGTGATTCATCCATCACTGGCCAATTTTAGGTAATGTCAAAATCCATTGTGTTACATTATTTCACATTTTGTTTCAACATGAATATGGTAAATTTGCACAGAATCCTGACATTATGAATATTTTAACATGTTATAAATAAATATTAGCCCATCATGTTTTCACAGATCTCTAGAATAATAAATACATTAAATATATGTTTAAAATGATCAAATATGAAAGAGTTTAGTATTACACCTTGAGGATGTAATAAAAAGTTATAAAACCAGAGTCAGCACGTTTTGTGTGTGTGTGTGTGACAGTTTAGATAGTAAATAGTTTCAGCTTTGTGGACCATCTGATATCTGTTGCAAGTGAAAGGAGACATAGGCTAAAATACATACACAAACATGATTTCACCCAGGGGTGTAGTTTGCCAACTCCTGCTATAAAACATTAAAACAAGGAAAGCTTATTGAAATTATGGATATATTTTACTAAAAATATTTTGTTTTAATAAAAACTTCTTGATTCAATTTATCTGATGATTTGGCCTATGAGTTTTGAGGGTTTCAATTAAATCTGAATATTTTAAATAAGCTTATTTTTATACAGAATCAAGAAAATACATGAATGTAAAAGCATTTCTATGTATTCATATGTGTATACGTATTCACATGTAGTACGTGTTCACATTTTTATTGTATAACTATTCCATGAGTATATCCGATACACAAATTAAACAACCTGAGAAGACTAAGAAATTACTGTTATTGTTCTCACTTTAAATTTGTAACGGGCCTTTTATTCACAAGGCCTGGACACTGTATTAAATTCATGCTCTGTTAGATTTATTTTTGTGAAATTCAGACTAAGTTCAAGTGTAATGTTTTAAAATTCCAACCAAATGTAATAATTTAGATTTTTTGGACCATATATCTGTCTAGTAAATTTT